AAATGGAGACATCCCAGGAATACAAAGATAACCCAGGCTCCTGTGTGTATGATGTCTGGTATGACCTTAAAAACACACCAGCCACAGCCTGCTGTGCTTGGGAAGACCGTCATGGCCACGCGGTTAAGCCCTGGTGGGTCAGCCCTCCTCAGCGTGTCTCTTCTTGCACAGCCAGAGCAGCCCGGTCAGTGTGTGCTCTGCCCTGCGCTCTGAGGAAAGGAGGTCCCGCCACCGTGGTGATGGTTCCCAAAATGTATATTATTCCTATAATAGGGTGGGGGGGAGGGCGGAGAAGAACACTCATAAGATGTTTTTGAAACAAAACCCTGTTCTGGGTTTTTTCATTGGCCACAGCAGGACTGTGTTCAAGTGAAAAGCACTCAGGATAAGCAATGCCCCCCCTTCTGCAGGTGACTATTATCGGGTACACGTTTGGGATCCCTGACGTCATCATGGGCATCACTTTCCTGGCGGCGGGCACGAGCGTTCCAGACTGCATGGCCAGCTTAATCGTGGCGAGACAAGGTACCCATCGCGTCTCGGCATCACCATGCGGCCCCTCACCCCCGCCCCCCCCCCGCGACAGTTCACAGCTCTTAGGACGTGCAGTTCAGCTCAGCCGTGGAGGAAACTGTGGCGTCTGGAAAGCAGGAGTCGGGCTCCACCCGAGGGGAGAATGCTCCCGGATGAACTCCAGGCCTCGAGGCACATCTGTGTGCGTGCAGTTCTGTGAAAATCAACTTGTTCTCAAATCCCTAATGTGAGCTGGCACAGGGCTGAAGCCCAGACTTCTTTTTTTAAAAAATTTTTTTAGTTGATTTCAGCAAGAGGAAGGGAGAGGGAGAGATAGAAACATCATTGATCGGCTGCCTCCTGCACGCCCCCTACTGGGGATTGAGCCCCCAACCCGGGCATGTGCCATGAATGGGAATCAAACCGTGACCTCCTGGTTCATAGGTCGATGCTCAACCACTGAGCCACGCCTGCCAGGGTAAAAGCCCAGACTTCTTCTAGCAAACGAGGTAGTAACGAGGAATGTTCTGGTCCCAGGAAGGCAGGGTGGGGGTGTCCTATACCTCCAGCTGTTTTCCTCTGCTTCTTCGAAGTTCTAGAATTTGTACAGTGTTTTGGCTCGTTTGGTCCTTTTTCTTGGGGCTTACTCAGCGGCGTGGGGTGAGCCAGGTGAGCAGGACGAGCGTGCTCTTTGCGGGCAGGACCAAAGAGCCAGCCTTTGTTTACTGCTGCTTTCCAGCTCGGACCCCCACAGGTCTCCCTCCGTGGATGGAAGTTTGCAAGTATGGGGGGTGGGAGTGTGAATATGGAGTGAAATCTCAGAGCAGACAGGGGAGGAGAGAGGCGCCCAGCCGGGAGGTCGGCCCTGGAGAGAGGGAAAGTGGGTCTTGCGTTTCTCATATTTGGAAGCGAGCGCTGCCAGAGATTCTCCAAGGGCAGCCTGTGCAGCGCGGGCAGCTGGCCAAGCCTGAGAGGCCTCGTCCTCTCCTCCCACCCTCGTTACACCTTCCACCTGGCCGGCTGGTGCCTGCCCCCTCGCTGGGGGCTGCGAGGGAGCGTCTGTCCCAGGACCCTGTCTTTGGCTTGTAGATGACCATCTTCAGGTCCCCGTGACGTTCTCCCTGCGCTATCTGTGTCCACGTTTCCCCTTTTCCTAAGGAACCAGTCATATTGGATTAGGGCCCACCCTCGTGTCCTCACTTTGGTTATCCCTGCAAAGACCCTGTCTATAAACCATTCCCATTCTGAGGCCCTAGGGGTGAGGACTCCAACATATGAACCTTGGGGGTCACCATTCAGCCCATCCCAGGCCCCTGTGGGCTTCCGGAGGGAGTGGGCCTTGGATCTCGGAAAAAGGGTTTAGAAACATGGGGTCTGTGAAGCAGGCATTCCTGTTAAGGGACGGCTCTGATAGAGCAGTTCAGGGGAAGAACAGGGATTTCCCGTGACCTGCTCCTGGCGAATGACACGTGGCCCTTGCCCCCTCCAGGCCTTGGCGACATGGCGGTCTCTAACACCATAGGGAGCAACGTGTTCGACATCCTCGTGGGACTCGGCATACCGTGGGGTCTGCAGACCATGGTTATCAATTACGGATCCACAGTAAGTTCCTCACGTCTCCTTAGCAAGCCAGCCAGACGCCAGGCACGTGCGTGTCACGGGAATGATGGTGCTGTGGGCCTTTCCCAGCCGGGGGCTCTGGGAGCCACACTGCCCCCTTCTCCTTGGCACCCCAGCGCCCACTTTCCACGAAGGCTTCCAGAGCAGCCTGAGGGGTGCCTGCAGGGGAAGCCCCGTGAGCCCAGCCCTCCTCGGTGCTCCTGCCCCGTATCTCAGCCCCTGCCGGGCCTGTCCCCTCCTGGTCCTTTCCTCAGAGAAGCAGAGTCCAGACTTGAACCCACAGTTAGCTGGTGGCCCACGGCCACCTGCTCACCGGGAACAGGCTTTCCAGGTGGGGGAGGGAGGGAGCGGGGCTTGAGATGGACGGGCCCTGAGCAGCCCGGAGAGTCAGGCCTGTGTTTGTTTCTCTGCAGGTGAAGATCAACAGCCGGGGCCTGGTCTACTCCGTGGTGTTGTTGCTGGGCTCCGTGGCGCTCACCGTGAGTTTTTACATTTAAAAAACTCATGCTTTTTACATTAAAAAAAACTCATGCTTTTTACATTAAAAAAACTCATGCTTTTTACATTAAAAAAACTCAATGAAGCCTTGTGCTTCATTGCATCGGATCTACCCGGTCACTATGTGTCTCTGAAGCCCCTCTTTCTTCCCCCCGGGCAGTGAGGGGCAAAGCTGAGGAAACAGAGAAATTCAGATACCCCAGACACAATCTGTGCCGATAATGTTGGAAACTGCCCTGGTTGGTGTTGCTCAGTGGTTAGAGTGTTGGCCCGTGCACGGGGTGTGATCTCTGGTCAAGGGCACGTACCTGGGTTGCACATTCCATCCCCGGCCCCACTCAGGGCTTGTGCAGGAGGCAACCAGTCGATGTGTCTCTCTCACATCGATGTTTCTCTCGCTCTCCCTCCTTTGCCCTCTTCCCCTCTCTAAAAAGTCAAAAGAAAAAAAATATCCTCCGATGAGAATTGACAAAACAAAAATGAGAAGAACGTTGGTACCCACCACTGCACTCTTCCCTGGACAGCTAAGAAGTCGCCAGAGGAAAAGAAGTGGGTCTCTCCCTAAGAGAGACGTCCTCCCCCAGCTCGTCGGAGCTGGCAGATGGGGGCATGTGGCCGGGCCTGGGGACTGGCACGCAGTAAAACTCAAGTTTCTATTCTCCATGTGCCCAGGACTGTGCTCAGCTCTTTACTTCTGCTGATTTGTCCGTCCTTACAAACACCGGGTGAAGAGAGCAAGGCTCAGGGGGCGAGTGACTTGCCCAAGGTCACGCGGTTAGGAAGTGGCAAAGCTGGGTTGGAGCCCGGCGTGGTCCGTGTCTGTAGGGCCCGTGACATTGCTCTGATGCGGTGTCTATGATCCCACCGCGAGGAGCCTCTGTTCAGGGGTCAGAGCGAAGGTAGTAAAGGGAGGTGTGGAGAGTCTGGGAAGAATTTAGAATGAGAGTGTGTTCCAAACTGTCCCTCAAACACACACACACACACACACACACACACACACACACACACGCGCGTAGGAGAAGGCGGTCCAAGCTGAAGTTTGCCAGACTGTAGGCCAGCAGCAGCCTTGGAAGTTTCGCTGAAGAGGGCCGAGGCTACCAAGTTCTGAAGCAAAGGGAGGACCTGGCGAAGACCCTAGCTGATGCTAGAGAATGCCTGGGATGGGGAGGGCCTGTTCCCTGAGGGCAGCTGGAGTGTGTCCCCCCAGGGCTGGGCCAGGGTCTCGCCTGGCCATGCACAAGTCTGAAGCCTGCAGGGCTTGCGCTGATCAAAGCAAGGCTATGCCTGGCAGCACCCCTGTGCTCCAGCCCACGCTGTGGGGGAAGTTGTGGGGTTCTGGTTTGTGTGTCGTTTCCCAGTACAAAGGCCTTTTGTATGTATCTCTCTGCCCCCGAGCCCAACCCTTGCCCTCTCTCCCGCCAGGTCCTGGGCATCCATCTCAACAAATGGAGACTGGACTGGAAGCTGGGCGTCTACGTGCTGGTCCTCTACGCCATCTTCCTGTGCTTCTCCATCATGATCGAGTTTAACGTCTTCACCTTCGTCAACCTGCCGATGTGCCGAGAAGACGACTAAAGCCGAGCTCTGCCCGCTGGGAGCTGTTCTGGACACCGGCCTAGCGTCCTCCCCTCGCTCCCTCCCCCCACGAGTCCCCTGCGCTGGCAGCCACCGGCTGTCTTTTCTTACACTGGAAGGAAGAGCCATCATGGTCTTTGGCCACGGGCCCGGCTGCTGGGCATCCTCCTCTTCCTGGGAGTCAGTCCTGCCCTCCAGAAGGCGAGATGCAGGGGCCGCTCTCTGAGCATCTTCGCAGCCCTGAGCTGCAGTCACAGGATGTGGCGCGTGTCCCATCTCTCGCGGACACGTCGGTCAGAAGGACTTCTGGGTGCAGTTTGTCTTTCTGTTTCGCGGCATCCTGAGAAATGAGGTGGTCGGTGACCGTGAAGTCTCCTGGGGCAAGTGCAAAATGGGAATGTTGTCCTCAAGTGTCTCCTCTGGGCCAGAGGGGGGCGTTGCTTAGGCAGCTTTTGCTGCAAAGAGAGGAAGAGCTGGAGCAGGGGCCTCCCCCTGCCGGGGGTGCGGGGCTGTGATGGCAGACACCCCACCCCTTTTTCTAGACCAATTGGAAGAATGGAAACCGTTTTTTCAGGTTTGTTTATTGTTGTTTTTACAGCAGAGGCGAGAAAACAAGAATGCAATATTCTTCTCCTTGTATTGATGCATTCAGAGAATGAGCAATGGAATATTAAACATGAAATGTCCTACAGACCATCATACTTGAAAAATGTCATTCCATACAAAATGGGGACCAAAAAGGTAACACTCACGGAAAACGGGTCCTGTGTGCGTGGTGGTGCATGGACGCTGACACGCTTGGTTTGGCGCTCGGGAAGGAGGGAGAGACTCACATCGAAACGGGTGCTGATTCAGACGCGGTGGAGCTCGTAGTTCACAGCCATACATTCCAGACCTTCCGTGGGACGCGACGCGCTGTCACTTTGGGTTTGTCATTTCTTTGTTAATGCCCGACTCTCAACACCATCCTGTTGAAAGACCCAATTGTTTGTATGCCCAGCAAATCTCATAGCCCACTGAGCTGGAAGGAGTGTGCCAGCGCTCGGCTCACGACCAGAAGAGAGAGTTCCCGGAACCGGGACTGGGAGTGTTTGGAGCTAAAGTTTCTTGAACCTTACAGTTTGCTACCCGTGAACGGCCAAGGGCGGGAGGCTGATTCAAAGATAGAAAAATATTAATTTCCGATCGCTTCTGAGCTCTCAAATATATATTAAAAAGGTTTATGAACACAAACCATTTGTGGTTTCTAAAATGAAAGCACAATTCACTTTGTATAGAGGTATTTTTATTTTTGTAATGTTTCTATCGCAGATGTCTGTCCGATTAGATGCACTTTTAACATTAAGCTGTTTTGCACGGAAGACGTGAGTGGGAGTCACCCGTAGTGGTGAGAGGAAGGGAGGTGTTTAGTGATGATTCATGTTGGTGATGGGGTGAAATCCAGTAGCTGATTCCTTCCGGACACAGCAGTTGTGACCCGAGGTGGGGCTTGGGGCTGTGCTCTTTAAGGCCTCTCGAATTTCAGCTGGAGGAAGTGTTGAAGCGTGTGTCCTTTAAGTGAGCGTGAGCCTACGCTGGGCCTGAACTCCGCCTCCAGGCTTCCCACCTGGATTTATAGCAGTGTTAGCAGCTACACCACACGAAGGCTTCTCTTTTTGCTGTTTTACCTAGATATGGGGTTCCGTGGTCTTCAAGTTGAGGATAAAGGTGATTTTCCTAAGAAATTAGCTAAGTGGGAGGCTGGGTAGGCAATAGGTCATCATTATTAACTTAAGGTGCAAGGGGTGTCAGGGCCCCAGGGACACTCTGTCCTCTTAGCATAGCTGGCCTGGTCCCTCCGTCTTTACAGACTCAGTGGGTTTCAAAGCGCATCTGTCTCTATCTTTAGTCTCAACCCCCTTCCCTTCCCCTCTCTCCCCATGACATAAGTAGGGATTATTCTCCCTTTTAACAGAAAAATTAGTCTTGGAGAAATGACTCTAGGTCAATGGCCAGTAAGTAGCAGAGCAGGGACTGAACTCCAGATTGTCACCCACTGTGGCTCAGCCAGTCCAGTGGGGTGGCCATCCGTGTGGGTGGGGGGGGGGGAGGGTGGGTTGTGCAGGTGTGAGTATGTTTTTGCCCTGGTGGTTGGTTTTTATCATTTGAGTTAAAACTCCATCAGATATTTACTTGATTCCTGGGTGCCCCAGCTCATATCCTAGTATCTACACCTATCCAACGTCCCTACATTTTTCCTGAGAAAGGAAAATAGTTTCAGCTGCAAGGCGCAGGCCACATGGCTCCAGAATGGTATCCCTGCTGGTGTCACTGGTCTGAATGCGTGTTTCGTTTTCAAAAAACACATCCTAAGGACCGGCCTTTAGCTCAACAGAATCCTCTGAGATTATAAAGTACACTGCAGTTACCGTTTGAGACTAAAAATAATGTGTTTAATATGCAGAGCACTCCTGGTTAATTCTCTTTTGACTTGAATGTGCCAATGTCACTTCCTTAAAGGGTTGATGCACTTATTGTGCTTAGGAAACTATATATCCACTGTAGGTAAAAATGTCTCTTTTTAAAAATATTTTTCCATCACACGTTTAAAGGATTGCTTGATTAATTAGGCCTTCATTTTAAAATAATGCTTTTATCACCATGCAGGAATACTCCCTTTTCTCCCCCAAAGCTAATTAGCATGGGGTAATTACACTGCTACAAAAATAGGCAATTAAAAAGAATTAATTTAGCTCTTGTAATGGGGGTGGGGGGCAGAAAAGAAAAACAAACGATTGCACTCAGATAAGAAATGTCTGTAGAAGCAGGAGCAGGCGTTCCTCCTGATGTCTGGTTTGGAATTCGCCCTCACCAGCCCGAGCGAGGTCCGGGCGGAAGGTGTGTGGTATCTTGAGAACCTGGCCCTGAAGGAAAGTTCTGGGTCAGCTTCAGTGAGAGACCAATGGGTAAGGGCGGGGGGCGGGGGGCGGGGTGGGGGGGGCAGACTCCTCCCACCCTTCCCGTAAGCCGCCATCAGCTGGCCTCTGTGCTTCCTGTCCATGTGTCCGTCTGTCCGTCCATCATGAGCACAGACCTTGCTGCCCTGGTGAGTTTCCGTCTGCTCCTCCCACCACCTGTGAGGGCAGTCTCTTGCTCTGCCCGTCAATCCCCTGCCTTTACAGACCCGAGCAGCTAAACCGGCCCGCTGTGCACATCACTCTAGAGCAGCCGTGTAGACGCCGACCAGAGACCCCTCCTGGGCTGCCGGGCTCCAGGGCCTCTTTCCCTGGATGAGGATTTGAAAGCCTTGTAGCATCCGCAGTAGCCCAGCACTTGGGGACAGCGGAGTCACCCCAGGCTGGGACCAGGGGGGAATGGGTCCTTCTTTCCTCCGGGTCGTTCTCTTCCCTGAGTCCTAGGGCCCCTCCCTGTCCTGAGGGGGGCGGGGGGTGCACACAGGTGAGATGGACCGGGAGAGGGTGAGTTCCCTCCCTCCTGCCTCAGGTATGAAATGGACCAGCGGGTTACAGTGCTGGGCAGTGCGGGGTCTGCTGCCGCGTTTGGGGACTTTCCCCCGGGAGTCAGGGGGCGCATAGCAGAGCCCTGCAGCTGGTACTGGTGCCCCTCAGTGGGTGGTGCCCTCCCAGCCCCGATCCTGAGGGTGCTTAGGGCTGGGCGTGGTCTCTCCCCTCCCACCCGCCTCTCGTTCCCTCTCGCCATGACCCTCCCCGGCTGGAGGGGGCGGCCGGGCTGTGTACTAGTATGTGACGGGCTACAGCAATTGCCTGTGGCTTGAAGACACCAAGAACTTGCCTGTTGGGGTGAAAATCGTCGGGATTGTTCCCATGTGCCGTGATGTAAATATCCCCCGTCCCTCTAGTACAAGCATGTCAAACTCAAAGGCTAACACGGACCAAATAAGCAAGGGTTAAGTGTATGTGGCCACAAGAAAACAAAAGCTTCAATTTTCATAGCAACGTAGGTTTATTTTGATAAAGACATGCTGAATACAAAAGGCTGAAGTAAATGCGTATCGTTAACAAAATAATAGAACATTTTAATAAAAATATTTTTCCTTGAACATTAACTTACCAGACACTGAATAACTGCACAAATTAATAAGCGTAACACAAATAAACCTATTTTTCTTGTTCTCTGAAAGCAAAATATTTCCTGTTGCGCACACCAAACAAGTCAGTCCAAGACTAATGACGTGGCCATCGGCTGCTAAAATATTCGCTGCTAGTATTAGTGGAGAGAAATGGTGCGCCTGTGCGTAAGGCGCGTAAGGGAAATGAATGCAACACGATTATAGTAATCAGTCATTAGCGAGCGTTGTAGTTCCTTATTAATAGTTATGTATAACAGGATATTGTAAAAATTAAGTTACAAAATTTCTATTAAAAAGTTTCTTACATACCGTTATGTTGGCTGGGCTGCAAAAATATGTGTTGTGGGGTGCATATGGCCCGCGGGCCGCGAGTTTGACACGCTTGTTCTAGTGCCTCCAACATGGTTTCCATGCCTGCCTTCCTCCCTTTCAGGCAGTTAGCAGATGCATCTAGGGCAGGGTGGGCAAACTTTTTGACTCGAGGCCACAATGGGTTCTTAAACTGAACGGAGGGCCCGAGCAAAAGCATGGAAGGAGGTTTGTGTGAAACTATATAACTCCAAATAGAACATCTAACATAAAAGGGGCCGGCTCTTTTTTTTTTTCCAGTTTATTCTTTTCAAACGGGCCTGAATTTGGCCCCGCGCTGGCTCAAGGCTCTTGAAGAAGGCCCCACTCCTGAGAGGCTTCTTTGTCCCATCGTAGCCCCTAAAAACCCTCTCAAAA